TTTAGGGTTTAGGGTTTGGCTAACTGTCTTGTGCTTTCTCGAACCCGAGGACGACCTCGCCCTCTGCAGGCACCGGACTCGCTGCTCCGTCCTTAACAGTCGAAAGTAGTTTCGGGCTTGACTAACTGGGCTCTTGCCAAGAGACTTTACATTGCCTGGCGAACTAGGGACATGTATCGAAAAGACTTTGAACCCCTCAACGTCCCTGAGGTTCTGCGCCGACCGAGTAGACTTTCTGAGCCACTTGCGGAACCGGGGCATGCAGAATGATCGCTCAGCTATACTTCAACTTCCCGAACATGTTAAGCTAGGGCTCAGGATTTAGGGATGTCTTCGGTTCAGCGATGTCAGAGTTTCGAGTTTAGATAGAACTTGGATACTAATGGATCTGCAACCAAGAATAACAGTGGGCTTTCGGACTACGTAGAGACAGACCTGCACAGAATACCCGAAGTGCAGTGCACGCCGTGAATCCTAAACCCCTACAGCGGTGAGGGCAAAACCCGAAGCCCCAAACCAAACTACTACATACAACTATGCAGGAAAAAAGGCACGACTCATCGAACAGTCTCCCTTTAATATGTGCATGGCGAGATAAGTTCTTCCTTTGTCACTTTGACGGTTTGGTTTAGGGCTGGGGGTTTAGNNGGGTTTAGGGCTTAGGGGTTTAAGGCATATAGGGCTTAGTGGTTAGAGTGGTTGAATGAACGGGGTAGTGATCTAAGGCCTCTGGTTGGAGCGTTGAGCCAGTTGGACAGACTGGAGCGAATGCATGGGAAAATGTGCACCGGAAGACACCCATGCTAAACCCAAAGTCACTGACTCGCTGCAGCTCAGCCAGCGACTGCGCCAGGTCGAATCAATGCCTTGGCTACATGATACACTGTCTGGTGCTTAGTAGGGANNTGGGGGAATGGGTTATTGGGACCACTACAAGGGACCTTAAGGCACTATCATAGGGATTCGTTCCACCATTCCCTACTAAGCACCAGACAGTACATTGCCTTGGGCTCGCTTAGGTCCTTAGGGCCCTCCCTCTCCTGCAACGACTATATAGGAGTTTCCGAAAATACGGGGTACCTTATTTTGGGGGTCCTTATAGTAAGGATCCTACTATTTTGGGCTACTATTTTCGGGTCCCTTACTTTCGGAAACCCCCAGAAACAAAAACGACGAATACTACCGTCATGTCGACGACGAAGAACACCACCGTCACTGCTGGAGCAGCTGCTCATGATGATAACGGCAGGACCTACCTGAACATGGTCAGAACAACGAACGGGGCACCATCAATGCGGCGGCATACAACTCTCAATGCCGAGCATGATGATAGAATGATACAAGCAAGCACGCCACGGCAAACAACATAAACCTCATCAATCGAGGCATGATCACAACAGCTCAGAGTGCATACCGATAACCCGGCAACAAAAGCAACCTCTGTGTCCATGGCTCCTCAAAAGTGACAGAGTTTCGGGACAATGGTCATGATAAAAGTCCAGACCATATGACGAACGAAGAATCTCCAATGCATCATCGTACCTTAACCCGAATCCCCAAACTTACGGCCCTACGGCAACCTAAGGCGCCACCATCCCAAACACACAAAGACTAAATCCCAAAATCCGACGCCCTAAAATCTCACTCACTGCCTGCTCGAGCTTCTGAACTCCCAAACTCCAAACCCGAAAAGCCCTGAAAAGTCATCACTGAGGCTGCCGCTCCTCCTGCATTGATTGGGAGCCCCACTGAGGGAACCAGGGCCCTGGTAAAAAGCAGTCCGATGTGTCTCGCGGGTTTAGGGTTTAGGGTGTAGGGGTTTAGGGTTGAGGGGTTTGGGGTTTAGGGTTTAGGGTCTACCTGATTTGATCCTCGCAACCAAGATCCCACTATCCAGGGTCTCTATACTGCGGTCTTGAATCTTACGAACACTCCATTCGGGTTAATCGTGCTTGTTTACAGCTTAGTGTGTTGAGGCCTGGGCCTTTTGGATGCGACCCTAAACCCTAAACCGAAACCTGAAACCCTAAACTCTAAACCGACATCCTAAACCCTACACCCTAAACCGAAACCCTAAACCCTTAACTCTAACCCGACATCCGAACCCTACACCCTAAACCCGAAACCGAAACCCTAAACCCTCAACTCTAACGCGACATCCTAACCCCTGAACCCGAAACCGAAACCCTAAACTCTAAAGCGACATCCGAACCCTAAACCCTAAACCCTAAACCGAAACCCTAAACCCTTAACCCTAAACCCCAAACCCTAAGATGGTCTACGACCTTTCGGATTGAGACTTGCGGGTTCGGGGTTTAGGGTTTCGGTTTAGGGTTTTAGGGTTTAGAGGTTTAGGGGTTTAGGGTTTCGGTATAGGGGTATAGGGTTTAGGGCTTTAGGGTTTAGGGTTTAGGGGTTTAGGGTTTCGGTTTAGGGTTTCGGTTTAGGGTTTTAGGGTTTAGGGTTTAGGGGTTTAGGGTTTCGGTTTAGGGTTTTAGGGTTTAGGGTTTAGGGGTTTAGGGTTTCGGTATAGGGTTATAGGGTTTAGGGTTTTGGCTTTGGTTTGGGATTTTAGAGTTTAGAGTTGCGGTTTAGGGTTTTAGGGTTTTTAAGGTTTAGCCCAGGGCTGATATAGGGATTTCCAGCTCAGAGGTTGAAAGATTGGGTTCCCGGTTGTGCGGCTTTGGGCTTGGAGCTTTGGAGTTCGTAGGCTTTCGGTAGGGTCTTTAGGGTTTAGGGTTTAGGGTTTAGGGTTTAGGGCTGCAAATTCGGTGTGTGATGGGAGAATTGAAAAGAGCTTAACTGCCAGCTGACTACAAGCCTAAGACAGGTTCTTGATGAGCAACTATACAAGCTAATCAGCTTTCCTTTGTGCCTCAACCGCGTACCCCCACAAATCCTGCTCTGAGTCTTAAGGCCCGTACTTATATCAAACGCTGTAGCACTGTAGTCCTCTCTTAAACACGCTAACGACAACCCCAAAGTATACAACGCTATGCATTCCGGTCGGCATGCATCATGTGAGCGTTTCTCTGCCTGAAACTTTAGCGTTCAAGCTGTTGAAACTCTGTTGTGGAGGCAACCCCAAACCCTAAACAAAGCGTTCTTAACCGGGCCCGAAAGCTCCATGTACATATATAGTGGAGAGTGTTCACCTGAGGGTTGTATAGGGGTTTTATTTGGTGGTGCAAAAATATGGCGCTAAGTACTTAGTATATATAGGGCTTAAAGGATTATGGTGTGGACCAGGGTCTTAGTATCTACTCATGGGCACTCAGGGACGGCTCAATGTACCCAACAGGTTTCAGGCGCAGACATTTTAGCGCCGCAGGTCCCTAAACCAATCCGAAACCCTAACCTAAAGGGCCCCGGGTACTCTGATGGGGGATACTTTCCCCAATCATAATAGTAATTGTCATCCTAGAAACCCTACAGTCTACTATATAGGTACTTAGGCAGGACCCTTTGGGAAGGGCCTTAACCCGAAGCTAACTCCAAAGCTTAATCAGGCTCATACCAGCAGGATCGAATACTACATACTCATATACTCCCCCCGGGCTACTAACCTAAGAATCCCTAAACCCTAACCTTAAACTGTCTTTGGAAGCCTTAGACCGCGCACCTCCAAGAAACATGTAAAGGAA